CCGAAATTTGAGCGCGACTTGGCGTGCACGGCTTGGAATATTGACTCCCGTCATGCAGCACTTGCTTGAAGCATGGGTCCGGCGCAAAAGCCTTTCCGAAGGGGACTCAGGTCGAGGTTTGGGCTTTTTGCGATTTGGAAAGTAGAGTTTCGGTTTTATCACCCTGTCGCTTAAAGGTCTGCGGTGATGGATGAGGATTTGTCCGTACATCCTGCGAAAATGTGTTGCGACGGGCAAGACTAACTTGCGTGCTCCTTAGAGGCCTTAGTCCAGGACGTCGAGATTAAGGCACGACACCAAACATATTCTGCAAGCACGAGAGCCCCTAACATCTTCTTGAAGCCTATGTTTGCAGAACCCGCTTCGACTCGCTGGGTATTCCGGACCCCTGCATCAAAAGGTAGCAGTCTATGCCAACCGGGTTTACTATAATACGAGGCGACCAGCTATGGGCAGGCAGAGCTCGCGCTTTCGGCATTTTCAATTAAGCCTTGGCCCAGCCCTTGCAGGAAGCAGACTGTTGTATGGCAGCAACATGATCACGTGCGGGGCTCATCAAGTTTTATCTCTGAATTTTGTCTTGCGTGACGACTTGTCCTTGAACTGCTGACGCGAAGTTGAGATTTCTGCTTCAGGTTGAAGGGTTTCCGCTTCACCTTGTTGGGACCTCCGACCTCTGGTCTGGGTAGGCGAGTGCAAGCCCGAAAAACAACATAACAAAACCCGAATGCACAGAACCCTTCCGTGAACAGCAGGAGCTTTAGGCTTTGGGTGTCGAGTTTTAGGTCTTAGACGAGCATCTCAAAACATCATGTGTTTTAGGTTGGGTGTCTGGCTTGAGTTCGTGCCGCGGATGAAAAAAGTCCTGAAACCTCAGCTTTTCGACTTTCTGCCAAGGACTTGTCCGGGTCCGCGCGGAAGGAGCCCATCACCCAGTCCAGCTGGAGTTTGAAACCTTTTAATTGGTGTCCTTGGGGACATGCTTGGCCTTCTGTCCGTACACGGTGGATGTAAACCCCCGGTTCCAAGCCCTAAACTCCCTAAACCCAGCTTTCGGGTTCGTCCTGTAGACATTAGCTTGAATCTTAAGTTGTTCTAGGAGTGAATGCTTCGGAGAGCAGGGGTGTGTTCCTTCGCGCGTGAGCCGACATGGAGGTGCATTGGCGAACCACAAACCGAGGATTCGTCGATGGTTTGTGCAAAGAGTGACAAGAAGCCCGTGTTACTTAGGGCCTGTCATCTCTTTTGGTGCTCAAGGTAATGAATTACAAGAGTGAATAGACTTTTCAAGCACCGTGGATACACGGTTCGTCCAGAGGGAAAAAGATAGAAAGGACAAGGCGCGAGAGGGAGATCATGTACAGGAGGGCGACCAGTCCAACAATCAGATGCCTGTCGGGTTTGAGGGCACGGGGTTCCTCTAAACCCTCAAGCCCCCAGACCCTAACCCAACACTGGACGCTGTCAAACTCCCGAGGTCCGAAACTTGTCACAGACTCCTGTACCCTCAGTTAGACCACGTTAGACCCTTGCTTACACTTCTCTACCGTTAACCAGAAACCTCAAACTAAAGGACTAAGTTCCTACACCCCAAAAGGTCCCCCCCCCCCCCCCAAAAAAAAAAAAAAAAAAAAAAAGGACCTCTCAAGACCTAGGCTGCGCCAGTTCCCTGTGGCGGGACGGAGCTCTGCAAGTCTCGGGCGCCTTCGGCTTGGGAGAGTTTTGCCAAGTCGGAAGTTCCCTTGTTTGTGCGTTTTGATCTTCGGTAGTCGGGGCATTGATTTCGAGTCGCACTCACTTTCTCCCCCCAAAACAACGAAGCTTCAAGCGCTAGCTCAACAAAAGAACCCATCGCGAGCTTGATGCCAAGTGTGTGTCAGCGTTTCTGGCAGCATGGATTTGCTGCCAAAGCTCTCCCAGCACTCCAACTCCCAAACCCTAAACCTTACACCCTCAACCTTTCCTAAGCGAGGTACACCAAGAAGCCAAGCTTCATGCGGATGCAGATCAACGGCGACCGACCCGCGTGGATGCGCGAGGAGGGCTTGGAAAGTTGTTGTTTCTTTGTGGCTTTGGAATGTCGAGATTCGCGTGTCATGCACACACACACACACACATATATATATATATACACACACATATATATATATATAATGCATTAAATCTGAACAAATTAAGTCCACAAACAGTTGATAGGTTACGTCAGGGTTCCTGAGTTTAGCGCCTCTAGCTATTAATCTGAAGACATGCGGTCCGGTGTGATGATCGCAGGCCTCGACCTCGAATCAAGTGAACACCCTGAAACGCCCCAAGGCCCTGTCGAATTTCTTGATGCCTGCAAACTGCCAGCGCTTCAAAGCCAGAAGGGAACGTCCTGCAACAACAGAAACAGAAGCCAGATCTGTTGCTGGAAGGTTCATGGGTGCTTGACATACTCTCCTAGGTTTCCTGTAGCTGTTGGTAGCACCCTTGAGCCCCCCCAGAGCACGAGGAGGACGACCGCCCGGGCGGCTGGTCCTTCGCACCCTCGGCACCCCTGCGCCCAGCGAGGCCTCTTGGCTCCGGGGGTAGCTTTTCAAGGTTGCGTGTTTCTTGGTAGCCCAGTGGTACCCCGTTACCCTTCTTGTTTTGGGTTCTGGGTTCCCTTACAAAGACGCCGACCAAAAACAGGGCACCCTCGTTGGGCTACCAAGGTTTTTGTGTTTCGTGATTGGTGCTGTGGCTTTCTCCGGCTTTGTGCTTCTGTACATTGCCAGGCCAGTTGTCGGAGGAGGTTTGCAGGCATTTCGAAGACAGGAAGCTGTCATCTGTTCATTGAGGCTTGGAAGATGCAGGCAGGGGGCAACAAAATTGCTGTAAGCTTGGAGGCTTCCGCTCTTAGATGTCATGAACCCTAAACCCTAAACCCTAAACCCTAAACCCTAAACCCTAAACCCTAAACCCTAAACCCTAAACCCTAAACCCTAAACCCTAAACCCTAAACTGGGTAATTGTGGCTCAAGTCTGCCCAGGTTCGCTCGCGAAGCGCACTTCACTTCCGGTGGCCCGGCATGCGCATGCCGTTCACTTCTCAAGGGTTGTGGTCGAACCTCTCAGGCCTTTAAACCAAGGCCCGAAAAGAAAAGACCACGGTTTAGGGTTTAGGGTTTAGGGATTAGGGTTTAGGACTAGTTGAAGCCTGAGGCCTCTAGAGCCTTACTTCGGAGACCTAAGCCATGAAACTCGGAGCCCTGTAAAGATACCACAAACCTTAGCAGCCCTCGAAGCTTTAGGCCTCCAAGCCCGACATTGCGAAGCCCCATGTTTGGGTTTTGGAGTTCCATCGTAGGGGATGGGGGAATGTATGGAGTTTGGGGGTCCCTGAAAGTTACAGGGTTCAGGGCGTTTTCCTGAGACTCTTCTGCGTCTGCGCGTTCATCGTTTAGGTGGTCTCGGTCTCATGGCAATTGGGCTTCGTAGAACTCGAGCGGAATGTGTCGCAGCGTGAAGGTACCTAAACTCCTAGGATCTCTCACGCCCTCGGCCGCCTACCTCGAACCCCCAAAGCCCATAAGCTCTGGGAACCCTAATGCCCAACGGGGTCGGGCTGCTGTGTGCGGAAGAACGTGTGAGCCCAATCAGTACTCCCAAAACCTCAGAGGTTGATAGGGTTAGCAGTGCTGGCAAGTGGTTCGCGGGAACTGGCTTTCATCCCTCTGGCTCCTCAACAACCTCGACTTAAGTCTCCCAGGGGCAGCCCTGTCGAAGCCTGGACCCCAAATCCCTGTGCTGAAGCTACCCTTCGAAGGTTTCAAAGGCGGCCCAAACAGATGAGCTGCCTCAGGAAATCCTGGGGGCGCTTAGGTAGACTTGAGCCGAAGCCTTCGGTTTCGAGAGTTTGGGGTTTTAGGGTTTCGAGACTTCGAAGATGCCACCAGACTTGGAGTGCTTGTACTCTGCCCAGTGCTTTGCAAACTGCAGGTCCTGCATATCACAAGACTTTCGAACCAGCATCTTCCCAGAAGACACGAAGCACCGCGCAGATCGAGTTCGGAGGTCCCGCTTAGTGGGGTCATCCTTGGCTCTATCGTACTGCCATCGGGTAAAAATCGTGTGCTTGCTTGCCAGTTTGAAACCATGTCGGTGCAGATCCTACAACCCTGGTCGCAATCTCACAAATACTGCTCATACAATTATAGCTCAAGCCATCCTCGACGTCAAGCTTCCGTATCCGCAGCACTCATAAAAGCCGCCTGGCCTGGACACCGCGGCTTTTCCTTGTCTTATTCTCTCGCGTAAAGGCTACTGCAACTGCAGAGTGCCTAGAAATTCTGTTGCATGCTGCATTCCATGATTCACAGCAGTGCTTCAAAGAAAGAAGGCCCTGGGCCACCAATTCCCGGCACCCTAAACCCTAAACCCTAAACCCTAAACCCGAAACCCTAAACCCTAAACCCTAAACCCTAAACCCCAAACGCTAAACCCGCAGTCCCAGTGCTTAAGCCCCAAGGCAGGTAACTTCCGGAGCATCGGATCTGGAGTGTGTAGAGTTTATGGACCTTCGGGTTGAAGGTTTCATTTTGCTGCCAGTACTCAGAACCAGAGTGCAGAGTCTGGGGTTTAGGGTAAGCTTAGGGTTTAGGGTTTAGGGTTTAGGGTTTGGGTGTGTTAAATCGAAAGCAGACTGCTTGATTCCTGCAGCCTTTCCGTGCATCAAAACATGTGGCATGTGGAGGGGGGGAAATGTGGCAGATGCACATCCAACATGGTGCTATATTGTACCCCCTTGGGGGTGTGTGGCATGCAAAGCCTTCAACCCCAAGATCTCCCACCGATCCGTCCTTAGGGTGAGTGCTTAGGGCTGAGGAATCCTGAGCTGCGGAAGTTCGAAAACAGTTACACCCATCCCTCAAGACTTTTCGAGGGACAGACAACGCACACTCCAAAATTTCCAAGCTTTATAGGTCCTGATGTCTACAGAAACCCAAATTCCGAAGACGGCAGCGCGGCACCTTAAGAACATGGCGCTGAGATCCGGCGACGCCTCCTGGCATTGAAGCCGTAGAGTGTGTAGAGATTCAGGCGGGCTCAGGGAGTGAGAGCCTTGAGCATGTCAGGTTTGTTCAGAACGTAGGGCCTAAAATCCATTTGTGGAAACCTCACGTTATGTTGGGCAGCATGAGGTTATGGATCATTTCGTGGTGTGCAGCGGCGTATGAAGTCCCAACTGATGAAGATGTCCCATGGGATTTTTGTGCAGAGGCAAATGGTGGGGCTTCATCCAAGCACATGCCTACATGCTACCCAGTATCGCAGATGCACCATCCCAGATGCCGTTCTGAAGGATGACGTACGGGTTTAGACATTGGGGCGCGGGCGCGCCAGGAACCACCGAGGATTAAGGCCCAGGTGCGGTGTAGAGGTTGGCTCAGTGCTTGAGATGAAACAAGGTTTAGGGGCTGGGGGTTAGGGTTTAGGGTTTAGGGTTTAGGGTTTAGGGTTTAGGGTAGGTTGAGCTATGTTGAGCTTCCTGCGCAGCTTTCAAGTGGACCTGCCCGTACATCGTAAACATGATTGAAGACACACGCGGCATGCGGATCCGAAGTGGGTCAGGTTGTAGGGCTTTGGCTGCACCGAAGTCGAAATGAGACATTTCTGTCAAAGGGCTTTTGCTGAAGTATGCGTATGCTTTAGCACAACTTCGCTGGTTTCACAGTACACAGATGCATGGAGCCTCATCCACAAATCGTTAACCCGCCTGCAGCATGCACTGGGTAGCGCAAGCACGAATGCATTCGCGGCGTGGAGAGAGGTTACCAAGTGCTCCTGATCGTCACTCGCACCCTGCCCTGCCAAATCGTGTGCCATGGCTAAGGTCGGCTTGATGATCTCCTGCAGCGAAGAGGAAGAGTACCTTGGTTTTGAGTCTGGGGGCTATATCGGGGCTCCGCAGGGTACTCAAGTGAAGTCTTCAAGCCGGCTATTCAGATTCAGCTCTAGGCACACAGGAGAGGTGCACAAGGGGGGGTGGTCACTTGCCAGAGATTCTCGGATACGCCTTTGGCTTACTTTCCCGGGGTCTGCAACGCACGGGATCGGAGCCGCAACCAGCATGGTGCTCATTGTTGTGGATTCGTCTTGAGCCCAAGAAGAATGTGCCATGCTTTCTAAGCTCGTTTGTCTGTCGGCCCGGGCCTATCACCCGCCAAAAAACCTTCCTGCATTCTGCGCTCAATGGGGTTTAGCATCTTGACCGCCGATCCTTGCTTTTCTGCTTTTGTGCAGTTCGTCACGTGGAATCGTCAGCCAAGGAAGCTTGGGCTTGGAGATTGATGTAGGGTTCAGGGCTTGAGGGCTCCGAAAGCATGCGAGCTTAGATGGTTCTAGTCCCTCAACATCTGTATCCATGAACTCGGCATAGTAGGGCCAATTGTAGAGTCGAGGGCTCGGTTTAGACGACCCTTGCACACGCCACGGTCATGGCAGACGCAATCAGTCAGGTTCCTGCATGACAGGCTTTGGCGGGGCCTCTGAAGTAGAAAGGCCTGTGAGGCTTCTTCTTCATGTTTCTAAAGGCCATCGAATACATGGCCAAGGTCAACGGGCGAGGGGCTTCACCGCGAGATCAAGGACCCGCCAGACCCCTTCTCAAAGACATGGATTGGGGTTATGAAGGATAGTAGGTAGGCATTATCTTCAATATCACCATGGTGCATGCGTGCAGACCCTAAACCACAAGAGCAGAAGTACAACTCTTAAGTCAGGATCCGAAGCCCCAATCCGTGTGGTTTTGGGTTCTTCAGTCTGTAGAGCCCTAGAAGCCCAAAGTTCAAGTCTGTGGGCATTCGTGCACCTGCCGAAGCTCAGGCTCCAGGGTTTACGGAGAGTTCATGCGGACATTTTCGACATACGCAGAGCACTGCTTCTCACTTCATGTTTGCTGCGAGGCGGGGTTGAGGGCCCTAAACCCTAAACCCTAAACCCTAAACCCTAAACCCTAAGCCCTAAGCCCTAAACCCTAAACCCTAAACCCTCTAAATCTTTTCTGCTTGCTGTTACTTTGTTATCTCCTCCACAGCAACCCAGCTGCAGCTGCGAGATGTGCCTTGTGCACTGTGGGTTTTATTCTGGGTTTTGGTGGCTTGTTTGGGTCATCCAACCTGCCCCTCCTAGGGACCTTTCCTAGCACGACGCGGCGGAGTCAGAGATTAGCGCCCCGGGCTTGGGGTTTCCGACGCTTTGCTCGATGGTCTACCCTCTGCTCTTGCGGGAGTCTGTGGTAGATAGAGCCACTTAGACTCCAATAGTCTGAACCGAAACACTACAGCACTCACAAAGCCGAATTCATCCACGGGCCCCGGATCGCAGGAGTTCCGCTCCACTGTCAAGGAGTCCTTTGCAGAGCAGCGAGAGCTGCTGATGGAGTCTCCTGGCTTGGGACAGATTTGTGTGGAGGTTTTCGAGCTTATCGTTTAGGGTTTAGGGTTTAGGGTTTAGGGTTTAGGGTTTAGGGGTACCTTATAGGGGGTCTTCTTTTCAAGGGAATCCTACCATTTGGGGGTTTAGAATCGGGGTTTTTAATCCGGGTCCCTCATGTTCGTAAACCCCCATTTGTGTGGGGATCCTAGTGGGAGAATACCAAACGACATTATGCAAGCTTCCCGCTGTTCAGCTTGCACATGGGTCAGAGTCTGGGCTTCCTAAACCCTAAGCCCTAAACCCGAAACCCTAAACCCGAAATCCCAAACCCTAAACCCTAAACCCTAAACCCTAAGCCCTAAGCCCTAAACCCTAAACCCTAAACCCGGACATCTCATTCAGTCTAGAGCTGCCTAATTTCTACCCAAGCTCCCGGGGCTCCCAGACCCGAGAGGGTGATTCCTCAACCGCCTCAACATGGCTCAGCTAAGCATGCCAGGTTTAGGGTTTAGGGTTTAGGGTTTAGGGCTTAGGGCTTAGGGTTTAGGGCTTCATTCTTGACGAGCTGAGGTCCTCAGATCCTACGATCCCGTAGTTTCCGACCCAAGTAGCGTGGTAACACCATTGGGTTCCAGAAAAGGGCGAGGGGCATTAGACTTACCAGGAGCTACTGAATCTTGGGTTTGCGATCAGAGTGTTAAGGGGATGAAAGGCCCTGAGCTCAGAAATCCCAAAATCTTGAAACGCTTACAAGCCCTGGACGGACTGGGATTGTGAGGCTATTGCGATCCCTGCATGGGCACGCCCATGCAACATCGAGGCAGTCTGCGCAACCGGCCTCGCATTGGTGATTTCAGGGGTTTCCCGTTTTGAGTTTAGAGTGGGGTTCATCGGGTCAACGGCGCTGTGACTTTAGGGGCTCCGAGTTTTTGGATTCGCGTGGCCGTTCATGCGTTTTTCGGGAGGGGAGGGGGTTCCCAATTGGCGTCAACTGACTTTTTGCCTACTTAAGCGAAGTTTCGGTGTTGCGAAGGGTTTGCGTGAATCACGAGGGAAAACCTGAACCCTACTAGTTACTAGTGGCATGTTGGACTCCAGGGTGGTGTTTGGGCTTGCTTATGTTCGCGGATTCCGGGGGCTGAGGGATCTCTGCATGAATAGAGCCAGCTCTGATGGTAAGCTCATGAGCTAAGGACTTTATGGACAATGTGGGCACCCTAACGGTAGATCACGCAGCCTCTTGCAGGCTTTACCCCAAATCCTCACCGCCCCCCTGGGTTGAGAGACGAAGAAATGGAGGCACTCATGAGCTTGGGCAGCGGAGCTTGTAATCCCAACTCCATGAACCTTAAAACCTTCAAGGCCAGCCCAGAACAAAATACATCCAGCTTCACCAAGAAGCACACCGGAACCGCAAAGCCCAACTGTCTGACACCACGTTTAGGATCAAAAGGATTCGGCGCAGCGATCTCCGTTCCAAATGGTCGTAAACGTCGTACGCAATTTCTTACAGGGGCTTCAGCATAGAATGGTTTAAGATTGAGAGGGTAAAAGAGATTTTGAAGTTTATACAAGGGTTTGCCGTAACCCCTCGAGCCCTAAAGCCTAAGCCCTAAACCCTAAACCCTAATCCCGAAACCCTAAACCCGAAACCCGAAACCCCAAACCCTAAACCCTAAACCCTAAACCCGAAACCCGAAACCCTAAACCCTAAACCCTAAACCCTAAACCCTAAACCCTAAACCCGAAACCCGAAACCCTAAACCCTAAACCCTAAACCCTAAAACCTAAACCCTAAACCCTAAGCCTTAAACCCTAAACCCTAAACCCTAAACCCTAAACCCTAAACACTAAACCCTAAACCCTACCTCAACCTTCAACCCTTAGGTCCTCGCAGCTTGGAGCGGCTGTCGAGGTCCTCCATGAGCACGATACCTGGAGGCGCCAGGGTTTAGGGTTTAGGGTTTAGGGTTTAGGGTTTAGGGTTTAGGGTTTAGGGTTTAGGGTCTAGGGGGGACGGGGCTCCATTGATACAGGGTTTGGGGTGTCTTGTTCATCGGGTTTAGGCCGAAAACCCGATGAGTCGACCATTTGCATGTCTTCAGCCCTGTATAAGCCTTAGGGTTTAGGGTTTAGGGTTTAGGGTGAAAGAATTCAGGGAGGTCCCGGAGTACCCGTTCTCGGCTGCCTTTTCTTGGAAGCCCTTCTTGAGGCCACCGAAGGAGTTTGCAGCTCCGTCAGTGCCTACACAACGCCCGGGGGCTTACTGGACACACAGTCCTGCTTTGTGTGTCGTGAGCAGTGCAGAAGGGGTGGCCGCTGTAGAAAGCACTGTGCACTCCCAAGCCACGTGCGATGTAGAACTATTCGCCGTTTCTCAGAATGCAAATATAGATGCTAGTGTTTTGCGGGCTTCGGAATTCGGGGTATACGTCCTAGGGGTTACATCTCCAAACGGCTAGCAGAAACGACGGTTAGGAATGCCCCGGATCCTCTCCGTTTTCGAAGTTTTCGGCCTTCGGTCTTGGGGACGGCTTTGTGGCTGTTATCTGTTTCCACCACTGTTTAGGCTCCTGAAGTGCAAGGGCTTCAGACTCAGTTTAGGGGTCGAGACTTAGGTATGTTGAGTTTTCTGGGGCTTGGCGGATCTTTCAGGAGTTAGGGCTTTGGGGGTTACATGGCAGGCGTCTTCTATAAACCAGTTGTGCAAACTCGTCGGAATAGCCTTGCTCAGACTATAACGCATTCTTGATCCCCGGGTTTAGGGTTTAGGGTTTGGGTTTAGGGTTTAGGGTTTAGGGTTTAGGGTTTAGGGTTTAGGGTTTAGGGTTTAGGGTTTAGGGTTTAGGGTTTAGGGTTTAGGGTTGATTTTGGGACGAGGCCGCAAATCTGGCTCCGAGGATCAGCAAGCTGCGGCCTGCCGCAAATACGCTTGGGGTTGGAAGCTAGTTATACCGATTTCGGGTTTAGGGTTTGGGGTTTAGGGTTTAGGGTTTGGGGTTTAGGGTTTAGGGTATTGGCTTGAGAATTACTAGTGTTCTTGAACGCTAGCATTTTCTATTTCAGGTTTGGAATTTCTGATAGCATGACAGATGTGCTTGCCTATGAAAACGCAGGCCAGTGGCAGGCCGCTCTATTATTGCTATTGGCAATATGATGTGCAAGGTTAGTATCAAGACGGTCAGAAGTTTTAATATAAGCAAGCGTTTAACCAATGTTATTAACATTGTTCATACGATCCTTTCCAAGATAATTCATGTTGAGATGGTATTTTCAAATTTCATGATATGAATACGAGTATTCTGCTTGTATCAAGACTCTTAGCCTTATGAGTATTGTCAATAGTAGGTCGCAATTACCTATTCGCAACAGCAAGATCGTTAGTAGCATCAATGGATTTAAGAAGAAACCACCACTGTTAAAACAATTTCAATGTTGTTAGAATATGTGTTGTTGATATTCTTATGATTGTTATTGCTACCAGTGTAGGTTGACGGGAGTATTTCGGCCTGAGGGTTTCAAATTCAGAATTTGAGGTTCAGGCTGAAAAGTTTCAGGCTTAGGGTCTGTAGGATTTCGTTCTATTCCCAAGGCTCCCAAAAACTGAACCTTCGGTTGGTTTAGAACTTGGCTTGTTATTGCACCCTTAAGCCGGGAGCCAGAAGCTGCAATCAGGTATGCAAGACACACCCTAAACCCTCCTTGAGGTCCCAAAACGAGAGCTCCAAAAACCCTGTATCTAAACCCCAATCCCTAAACCCTAAACCCTAAACCCTAAACCCTAAACCCTAAACCCTAAACCCTAAACCCTAAACCCTAAACCCTAAGCCCTAAACCCTAAACCCTAAACCCTGAACCCTAAACCCTAAACCTCTCTTACATATATAGTTTAAATGTTGGGGACTTACTGGGCAAGGTCGCCGTTTTACTGGGCAAGGTCGCCGTTTTACTGGGCAAGGTCGCCGTTTTACTGGGCAAGGTCGATTTTTTGACGGTCAAATTAAGGAAAACTTTCTATTTTCTTAATGTTATGGGATTCTTTGGGCGGGTGGGTTTTTTTCCGTTGCCTACACACACTGCTGGCCTAGTAACTGCTCGAACTTGAGATGCTGAACCCTAAACCCTAAACCCTAAACCCTAAACCCTAAACCCTAAACCCTAAACCCTAAACCCTAAACCCTAAACCCTAAACCCTAAGCCCTAAACCTCTCTTTCATATATAATTTAAATGTTAAGGAGTTACTGGGCAAGGTCGCTGTTTTACTGGGCAAGGTCGCCGTTTTACTGGGCAAGGTCGCTGTTTTACTGGGCAAGGTCGCCGTTTTACTGGGCAAGGTCGCCGTTTTACTGGGCAAGGTCGCTGTGTTACTGGGCAAGGTTGTTTTAGGGTTCAGGGCCTACTCTGGGCTGGCTTTAGGGTTCAGGCCCCATTCTGGGCTGGCTTTTTAGGGTTCAGGGCCTAGTCTGGTCTAAGTTGATCTGGGCTGGCTTTAGGGTTCAGGGCCTACTCTGGGCTGGCTTTAGGGTTCAGGCCCTACTCTGGGCTGACTTTAGGGTTCAGGCCCCACTCTGGGCTGGCTTAGCGTTCAAGCCCCACTCTGGGCTGGCTTTAGGGTTCAGGGCCTAGTCTGGAGGGTTCAGGGCGTACCCTGGGCTGGCTTTAGGGTTTAGGGTCTAGCCTGGGCTGCTTTTCGGGGCTTTAGGGCTCAGGCCCCACTAGATGGGCTGGGTTTAGGGTTCAGAGGGCTTCAAGGCCCGCTCTTTTCTGGGTTGGCTTTAGGGTTGTTGTCTTGTCACTTGAATTTATAAATGTAAGTGAAATATTTTCATAATGTTATGGGATTCTTTGGGCGGGTGGGTATTTTTCCAACGCTCAATGAAGTGCTTGACTAGTGAATGCTTGGACTTGAGATGCTGAACCCTAAACCCTAAACCCTAAACCCTAAACCCTAAACCCTAAACCCTAAACCCTAAACCCTAAACCCTAAACCCTAAACCCTAAACCCTAAACCCTAAACCCTAAACCCTAAACCCTAAACCCTAAACCCTAAACCCTAAACACTCTCTAACCTATGTATATTTAAAAGCTAATGGATTCGCGGTTTTCCACCAAAATTTCCCGGACAAGCACCAAAAATTCCCGGACAAGCACCAAACATTCCCGGACAAGCACCAAAAATTCCCGGACAAGCACAAAAAATTCCCGGACAAGCACCAACACTTCCCGGACAAGCAAGAATTCACGGCCAACCACCAAAAATTCCCGGACAAGCACCAGAAATTCCCGGACAAGCACCAAAAATTCCCGGACAAAGCACCAACAATTCCCGGACAAAGCACCAACAATTTCCGGACAAGCACCAAAAATTCCCGGACAAGCACCAAAAATTCCCGGACAAGCACCAAAAATTCCCGGACAAGCACCAAAAATTCCCGGACAAGCACCAACAATTTCCGGACAAGCACCAAAAATTCCCGGACAAGCACCAAAAATTCCCGGACAAACACCAAAAATTCCCGGACAAGCACCAAAAATTCCCGGACAAGCACCAAAAATGCCCGGACAAGCACCAAAAACTCCCGGACAAGCACCAAAAATTCCCGGACAAGCACCAAAAATTCCCGGACAAACGCCAAAAATTCCCGGACAAGCACCAAAATTCCCGGACAGTGACGTCCCGGGACAAGCTGTTGTCCCGGACAGCTTGTCCCGGGACGTCCCGGGGCCCCCCCGGGACAGGCCCGGGACAGTTGTCCTGGAGCCCCTGCGGGACGCCCCTGGGACAGTGTCCCGGGGCGCCCCCGGGACGCCAGAATTAGACATTTTGGGCGCGTAGGCCGTCTTGTTTAAAAACGAGAAGTAAAATATTTTCATAATGTTATGGGATCCAATGGGTGGGTGGGTCGATATTCGATACCGGAGTAAGCAGCTCTACTAGTGAAATGCTTGGACTTGAGATGGAACCCTAAACCCTAAACCCTAAACCCTAAACCCTAAACCCTAAACCCTAAACCCTAAACCCTAAACCCTAAACCCTAAACCCTAAACCCTAAACCCTAAACCCTAAACCAACCCCTCACACCTGAGCCCTGAAATCCGGACCGAAGCCATCCAGGCCGCTGTGGGCTGGAGTTGCTTAAAGACTCGCCCCGAATCGCGTAGCATTCTGCTACGGAACTCGCACGAAGTGCCTGGTTTTTTCTGAAGTCATCATCGCGGTCGTTCATCCGGTCTTCCGCCTTTGTCCTCCTATCATCATCTTGATATGCCAGGGTTTGTCTCAGGTCCAAGAATCACGCCCATCCCGCCGGCCTTGCCTCTGGTGTTAAACACTAGCTATGCTCGCGCAACGAAATCACAGAAGCATCGGGCATCATCAATCGCCATCGTCGTCATCATCATCATCATCAACATTAGCAACCGGAAACCCTTCACAGCCCAATTCAACGACTCCAAATGATCCAACCCAGGACCTCTCTCAGCCGCGCAATTTGAATGGCGCCGAAGATGTCGATCGATCCTCTGCTGATCCAGGCTTCTTTGATTCCGTGGGGGTGAGGGGGGGGGACTGAGGATTCAGGGTTTAGGGTTTAGGGTTTAGGGTTGTCCTGAGATCAACTGCCATTTTGCGGTTGCAGCATGCCTTAAACCTGAACCCACTGAAGGCCTGACCTACATCAAGCGTCAACCCTACAAACCCTCGACCCAACAAATACGGGTTTAGGGTATGTCCGGCAGGCGGAAAAGCATGTGCGCACAGTCTTCAGACCTAGCTGATTCCTGGCTGTATGTCATGCACCGTATGTCTTGGCACATGACGTGGCAATCATAGTCCCAAATGTATCTGAAGATGCCGTGCTGCGAGAAGTGAAATGGAATAAATGCGCGGTGTGCTGCTTGCTGGGCCATGGGTCACCCGGTGAATGTTTGAGGGTCGACCGCCTTAGCAACAGAGGTCGCAAGGGTCGAAATCGATCCACAAAATGTCCAAAACTAGTTCGAAAGAAAGCCTGGCCTCTCCAGAAAGCCTGGGCCAGAGTCTGTCTCCTGTAATACCCCAAAACAGCCAAGAGCCCCAAGAAGGCCGTATTTAGAGTACGATTAGGGGATGGCATATGATGTCACTCTGACAGGTGCTGCAATAGCGGCGTATTGATGGTTTCAAGTTGAGTCCTGAATTCGATAACCGGTTTCTCAATTTTTGTTGTGCCGAGGACGAACCTCGCGTCCGCTATCTCCTTTAGACAGGGTAGTGGGGACGGATGCGACGTCTTCATGTCTTGCTTTGCTGCATTGTCGCTTGGGGTGTTCGGCTTTCTGCATGCGACTGTGCTTCATAGGGTTTATGGTTTAGAGTTTATAACTTCCTCCCCGATACCGCAGGTGCATCCACGAGGTACGGAAGGCGGCAAGTCAGCGACAGCTCGTTGCTGAGCCTCGAGTCCGCTCCAGTGGCTTGGGCTGATTCGTTTGGAGGTTAAGGGTTAGGGTTCAGGGTTCAGGGTTCAGGGTTCAGGGTTTAGGGTTTAGGGTTTATGGTTTAGGGTTTAGGGTTCAGGGTTCAGGGTTTAGGGTCCAGGGTCCAGGGTCCAGGGTTTAGGGTTTATTTACTTTGTCGTGTTTTGCACGTCTCCAGCTAAAACCTGTGGACTGCAGAGACGCTAAGACGCCAGTTTTGAAAGTCGAAGCCCCCTCTGAGCCGCAGGGCCTTGAATTTCCAGATCCACACCACCCCCCAAACACCCTCTAGTGCCCTCCAGCCAGAATCCTCAGACGTCCGAAGAGACTGGTGGACTCCTTGTCTTGCCATGTATCGTTCAGCTCACGAAAGCACGGCATGTCCCGAGGGTCAGGCTCGAATTAGCAGTTTAGGGTTTATAGGCTTTTGGGGAGAAGTCTGCCAACATCTTGTGCGCACATCAATCCCGCACTTTTCCGCCCTTTCTGTTCCTCCAAGTCTCAACCTTAAGGAGCCCTGCATGTCTAGGGTTTTGGAACTTTTTATGGCCTTCCTAGTGCTGGAATCCTTGATGACGGTCCTCACAGCCCTGAAGCCTTGTGAGCCCAAGGACAAGGCTTCACCCCGACTCCAAGATGACCCAGACCTCATGCAGCTCTGCGCCAGTTGTTTGGGTACTGAGTTCTGGGTGTTGGCCCGGTGATGAACGTTTTGGCCTCCTATATCTCTAAAGCTATAGTATCCTGAAATTGTTTTAGGGTTGGTGTATAGAGCTTAGGAGGGATTAGGGTTGTCTGTTGTGGGCGGGGTTGTGTATGCACTAGACCCGAGACCCCCTAACGGCAAACCAAGCCCGATGACTCCAGAGTTCGGGCGGGTCTCATGACGGCCGCGCATGCTTGCTTTCTGGAAGCTTGGTGAGTGTCTTAGCAAACGCTGTTGCTGAACATGCACAGCTTATAAAGAAATCGACCCATGGTTCAACTGCCAGGTCATAGCGCCTGCCTTGCTGCTTTTCGTAACGTTTAATGAGTTACTGTCACTCGCTTTTGCCCTACGGAAGTCGGAACGAATCAAGCGAGTTCGATCGCTGTAAAGTTGGTGACGTGAGAGTTACACTTTCTGTATGCTGAAGCAGATAGGCATATGCGCCCTTGAGTTTTTGTAGCGCCTTACAAAACTTGCAAAGGATGCCTGCAACTGCAAAAAACAAGATTGTCCGTGTTTCAGCTGCATGCACTTCGAGCTGACTACACGTGAGCAACTTGCGGTAGTGGTGTTTGCGCTTTGGGAACTGTTCGAGTTTCACCATTTTGGGAATGTGTGACTACTGTTGATTCTAAAACATTGAAGCCGCGTTCCAGAAACTGCAACAATGACCACCCCGGAAGCAGGGCCCTCTACACGCCGTGGTCCGAAAGCACTTCACATACCAGTGTTTGAAGGCGAAAACAGCTGCAAGTAGTTACCAGTGCTTGCTGACACCTAGTCTCAACCAGCCAATGCTCCCAGGCACCTATCCAACCTCATTCCTGGAATAGTCGCATCAACACCCTCGCTTTTTACGGAGCTATTCGCACGAAACGTCTCTGTCTCTCTCTCTCTCTCTGCCAATTTACTGAAGTCGTCAGAACAGCTGTCCAAAACAGACTGCCAGGTTGAGGGGGCCCCCAATATAGATCTCCAAATAGTAGCATCATGTGCGAGAACCCAGTTGCCGATGAAACATTTAGGCAGCGGATGTTGGTTGAGTTAGGCGTAGGTGGAGACCTTGAATACTCAGCACCAGGTCTGCAAGCAGCACTGATCGAGAGTTGCAGCTTATGGGGGGGAGGGGAGGGAAGGAGCTGTGGGGGAGGCTCCTGAAAGAACCAACTTCAAGAGCTTGCTAGGAATGCGTAGGAACGACCAGGTGCGCTTGGCAGACCTTGAAACTGAAAGCCTTCCCACAGTACCCATTCAGGAAGAGTCCTTCGTCAGTTTCGAAGGCCGACGTGGGAACATGCTGTTGGACTAATATAGGGGTCGGAATAGTTACTATTAGTCTTCCCTCATGGTCCCTGTATAAATATACCATAATAACCCCCAAAACCTTGTTCTCACTATTAAGGCCCCTATATTAATCAGGGCCCCTTTCAACACATGGATCGGTCAACACTTGTGAGGGGGTGGTGCTTCCAGACCCCAGCATTCCATTCCCCAATGTATGCCCAAACACTGACAACGTCCATTAAATTCCTGGGAGATGAGGTCCGGCAAACTTGACCAAGCTACTGGCTGAGGTTTAAGGGATTAGGATGCTTGGGTAGGGGGGGGGGTGGGCTCCCCTTCCTTCCCATGTTTGTATGTTTGTCGGCTCGCAACGGGTATAATTTCAGTTTCGGGTCTAAGGCTTAGGGTTTAGGGTTTAGGTTTCGAATGCTGTCTTGTTATTTCAGTGGCTAGCACTTTGGAGATTGCGCGACGATGGGGCAAGATCGGTCCCATTTTAAGCCGTCTACTGAGTCTACTGTATGCTTCAATCAGTAAGAGGTTCGTGGTCCGGCCCGGCTCCATGACATGTCACTGCGGTTGTATGCCAACTCTGGTACGTGGATGATTCAGTTTACCAACCGGAGATGTTGGCTGCGCATAAGCATCCCAAGGGGCATGCTTGCGCTGCGGGTAACGGTTGAGGAGTTACATTCATGGCCCTGGACACGACAAGCTTTGGGGGATCCTGTAGAGGTCAAACTCTACAGCCCTTGAGAAGTCGGTAGCCAAGTCTCGAGATACATCTCCAAACCCCGAACCCCAAAGCCCCCGCAGAGAACAGGTTGGAACCGAGAAGCTTCTGCAGGCCTTCGCGGGCAGCCCGAACGAGGAGCTATGATAGGGTGGAGGGTTCCTGGACGGCTTGGAGTTTCCGTGGGTAGCTATCAGTGCAAGTGAAACGCCTCAATCAATGTGCGTGAATCAGGAGTCATTTCTCTTTAAGACTTCCAAGGTTTGCGGTGCCCGTCCTTCAGGAGTCTTAAGTCTTGAATAGCCATGATCAACCCTCAAGCCGTGAAGCTATTAAACCCATAGCTGCAAGCCCCAGCTGAAGCTTCCCTCAACTCTCAGAAACGCCGTCGAAATCCCCTTGAGCAAGCCCCGAGTGTTTTGAGCTCAAAGACTGTGGCCAGGGGTGTTTGGAGTTTAGGGCTGAAGGGTTGTGAGTTCTTGAGGATGTGATCTGTCCTTTGCTGCTTTTCTTTTTCTGCTTTTGATGAAGCGGACCATTGCGATACATCAGCAGAAGCCACCATTGAAGGCATTCACAAGAAAAAGGGGACCACGCCACCATTTGAGCTGGGATGCGTGCTTCCAGCAAACAACTTGCTGGTCGAATGGCGACCCTCAGCAACTGTTTCTGCCTAAACCACGCTGTTTGGGTCCTAAGAAAGAGAGTAGGGCTTTATCACGCAAGCCCAAGCCCAAGCCATGCAACGAGAGCCTCGAGAGACCTTTCAACTCTCGAAACTTTCAATTTACGGTTTTTGGGGGTTCCGAGAATAGGACACCCCCCTATAATAGACCCCAACAAGGTACCCCTAATCTCGAAAAACCCCTCATCTGTTCCGCGAGGCAGCGCTGGATGAGGGCACCGAGACCTTTGTGACGTCGCAAATGTACCAGCAGCAGCGTAAGGCACGCCGTGGCTTCATGTGGAGTAGTTTTTCTGCGCAGTATTAGAGGAATTTGATTTATGTAGACTTAGGCCTCGGGGCTTCGGACTTTGCTACACCTGCGAAAGGCGTTAGGATGCGATTGCTCGTCGGTCGGATTGATGTCTTTCATGGGCACTTGCTAGGGCTTTGGGTATTGCAGGCTTCGTAACTGCATCTACTTCATGCTGTGACTCGCAAACATCAAAAGTTGCGTTGCGCGCTGTAGCATGCAGTACGGCTCTACGCTGGTGAACCACGACAAGTCAAGACAATCACTGCCTTCTTTGGCTGTCGGCATCAACAGCCGCATGCTGTCTTGAGCAGGAAGCGGGCTTATGAGTGTGGACGTCAGTCTAAAAAAGACGGCTGAAGCGTAAACTTCCCAGTTTCATGCTTCCATTGTTAGAAGTCGAGCCAAAAGTCATCCTCGCAAGATGTAGTCCGAGTCCGATGACTCCATGAGGTTGCGCGGTGCTGTTGCCCACCCCCGCTCCTCTGCACAGGAATGCCAAAGGTATGCAGCTGGTCATACCTTTGAGCATTCCAATACCATGCTCAATGTCATCGATCGGATCAGCTCATCGTCTCCGGTTGTCCTCCTCCTCCTCCCTCCTCCTCTCCAGCATCATCAGCCAGCATGAGATCCTTCCCTTGATGGTTTCTGTTCTGGCTTTCCAGGCCTAGGCTTAGCATCAGAAGGGAAGCCCTTCTGCACACCTGTTGTTTTTTTAGTGACATAGCGCAAAGATCTGCCCTAACGCCTGATGGGTTTGGGATTTTGAGGGCTTAGGGGCCTGGGGTATAGGATCGCAGAATCTTTTGCCAAGGCTTGAAAAACTGAAGCCCAGAACATCTCCGCGCAAGTCTGAGAGCATATAGTGAGCTCTCTTGTTGAATATGAAGATCTGCTTCTGGCATTGACCTGAGAATCTGCGAACAATATGGCCCCCCACACCAAGACAGTTCTGCTCCTAAACCCCCCCCCCCCCCCCCACACACACCCTAAATCCCCAAAGCCCAAACCCTAAACCCCAAAGCCCAAACCCTAAACGCCAAACCCCAAAACCCCAAATCCCAAACCCTAAGCCCTAAACCCTAAGCCCTAAACCCTAAGCCCTAAACCCTAAACCCTAAACCCTAAACCCTAAACCCCAAACCCTAAACCCTAAACCCTAAACCGCTTCCGATGTGAGGCGGAGTCTGCCGCAAGAGCTCACACCGAGCGGCGAATGAGTCGGAGGCCCCAGGAGCGTCGGTCTACTTGGAGATTCATGGTACCTAGGGTTTAGGGTTTAGGGCTAGGGTTTAGGGTTTAGGGTTTAGGGTTTAGGGTTTAGGGTTTAGGGTTTAGGGTTTAGGGTTTAGGGTTTAGGGTTTAGGGTTTAGGGTTTAGGGTTTAGGGTTTAGGGTTTAGGGTTTAGGGCTAAGGGTCCTTAATAACCACTTACTATAACCGGATTTTATAACCCGCTTATAAGCCCCTTGATTACCCTAATAAGGTTATAATTGGGTTATAAATGCAATTACTATTTGGCTAGTAAGTACCATGAACCTCCAAGTAGGGTTGATTTCGGGTTTTTGTTCTCGGCTCTCGCCCTGCCTTTCGCCCGAAACGTTTGTTCAATACTTCACATCCTACACCTGCAAAAGCAGCCACACACGTCCATAAGCCCTTAAGCCCTTAAGAAGTAGAAAGCACGACCTGCAGCAGAACATGCCGTTGACCCATGAACAACGACTCCCAAGCCTTGAGCCCCCTCCCCCTCCCGTCCGGCCCAACTTTTCATCTTCATATTTCATCGTTGTTCAACCATTTAGTCTTAGATGTGTCGTTTCAGAACAGTAGAAGAAGATGCCCAGATTAGTCATGTACGTTAACTTCCTTTAAGAGCCGGATGCTTAAAGAACAATACACCTTTTGATGTACGTTTGTCTGGCATCTTACTAAGTCTTAAACAGCTCTGAACCTCTTTGGTCTCAGGGAGTAGTTTAACCCGAAAGCGGCCCCAATTAAAACATCCAGTTCAACCAGACTCCCAAACCCCAAACCCCACACTTCCCTCAATACTACTTTGGCTTGGATCGTAACAGCTTACCACTGTGTGCCCCTGTTCAGTTCGGCTTTAGCCATGCTTAGGCGGACTTGAGAGACTCGCTGAGAGCTTTGGGTGTCTTTGCGTCTTTTTGAGGGCTTAGAGGGGGAATTGTCACGCACCAATCTCCTTCACATCACCTGCACTCTTATGCACCCTGAATCCGACCAACCCCTGGCAAGTTTCCGGAGTGAGCATCTGAAGCATCACCAGCTGCAAGGGCTTTTCTGCCAGAGGACCCCGGATTCAGGGGTGTTGCGATGCCAAGTTTCGGCTTGAGGGAAGCATCCGAGCACCTAAGGCTATTTCAGCACCTACAACTCCGAACGCGCTGACAGCAAGACCCTCACGAGACGAGCTGCCCGACGAGCTGCGCCGCAACTGAAATACTAGTTGTCCCTGGAGCCCTGGAACCTCCTTCAAGCGAGAAGAGAAGAGAGAGCAAAAGGGAGCCAACTGTGTGAAGAATGCGGACACAAGATAAAAACGAAAACTGGGATGCCCATTTCCATTATGCTTTACCCCCGATCTCGGAAGTAAATCTATTATTTAAATGTTATTCAACAAAATTAGGCAATTTAAGGACAGAAGGCAAACTAAACGACGAATTACAAGCAGAGATTAAGGCGGAATACGAAAAGCAGAAAAGGGAAACACGCAAACGATTAGACGAACAGTTCCCTAATAAGTTTGTTGATGAGGAAGAACCGCAACCCGAACCCGAGAAACTTAAACCCGATATTGATAAAGTGTTTCATCACGTCCATCAGTTGCTGATGAACGATGAGTTTCTAGAAGACTACTTTATGCTATTCGGCAAGCACAAGGATAGCACAATTATTGAAATTCCAACTGATAAGTCATAAGTATAATAATCCTTAAGTTGTTATAGGTTATACGTATAGTATGATTGTACCTTATCCCCAAACCTTATCCCTATTACAGATATTTTATTAGAGAATACCATTTCCATTTTCAAGGGTTGGGGATTTCGGGCTGGGGAATATGGTTTTTTCTATGGGGTGCGGGTCTATGGGTTTGAGGTTGGGGTTTTTCTATGTGGTGGTGTATGAGTCTTTTGGTGGTTCCATGGTATGGGTATTTGGGTTGGGCTTTTTGGCGAGTTTAGGGTTGAGGTATTGGTTGTTATGGCTTTGGGTCTTCGGGTGGATCTTTCCTAGGGTTCTACCGATGGGTTTTTCGGTGAGTTGAGGGTTGAGGTTTAGGTTGTTGTGGTTTTGGGTCTTCAGGTGGCCTAGGGGGGTGGGCATGGTTAGAAAATGGAAATGGTCTTCACTGACTTTCTTTAGAGGTCTCAGTGATGCTCTGAGAAATCCCTCCGCGACATGGACGCTGCAAAGATGTTCTGGGGGTTGGCATGTGGGCTTCCCGGGCTTCGCTGGGCGGGACTGCCCTAAACCCTAGACCCTAAACCCTAAACACTAAACACTAAACCCGAAACCCGAAACCCTAAACCCTAAACCCTCTGGGGGTGGGCATTCCCTGGATCTCTGTACGGGCCTCTGGGGTGCGAGGGTGGGCACACCAGGGATGGAAGGGTACGCTCACCCCACGGATACTCCGAAGGATGCTCTGCGAGCGAATGGGCCACGAGAATGGCTGACTGAAAACCTAACACCCCCACACCGGGTGCCCAAAATGTTCTCTCACATCCAGGGTGTGAAAGTGTGTGTGTGTGTGTGTCCCAAATTGGAGTGCAAACTTCAGACTTTTGACGTTGAGTGCGCGTGCGCGCGCGCGTGGGCGTGGGTGTGTGTGTGTGGGTGGGGCTTGTAGGGCTCAAGAAGTGGAATCAGGCGAAGCCTTGCTTCCAAAACCCTAGGCCCGCGACATGTGTGCATCACGGACTTGGGTTAGCCGATGTTTAGTGAGGGCTCAGCAGTCGGCCTGAAACTCCGGTGGAGCATTGCGCAACAACAACTGTGGGTTTCAGTGTGCTTCATGGTCTGACATCTTCGGGCGCCTACTAGACCTACATGGGCAGCTGTCGACAGGAGGGCCCCGCACGTATCAAGCACTCACCTGTGTCTAAAAACTCAAGTTCGAAATCCTGAGCCCGAAGCCTCACACGATTCGACAGCAAGTCGAGAGTTGTAAGGAACGCATCGTTGCGTCCCCGTGCTTCACCTACGGAATCCTGTCTGTGATCCTGACCAACATGATCCTCCTGGGGATTGCCGCTGGTCTAATAGGGGATGCGAAGGGACATGTCAGTGTCGGTTCCAACTCAACTTATTTGATCTTACTTGCAGTCATCACGACACAGTGTTCCTACGGGAGCTGCACAAGGCGCACTATGACACTTTTCTATCTTTGTCGGGTGTAGTGACATGTCTGTCGATTTTTGAGCGACATCCGATGCATTGGCTGAAGGCCCAACTAACAGAAAAAGACGTGGGTTGCAGAACCAACATCTGCTGGAAACCTGAGATCAGTGCAAAAGTGAAGAGCTGGGAGGGAAGTGTGTTTGCAGCGGGTGGGGACATGATTTGAGCCAGAGTAAGACATTCGTGTTTCCCACAGTTCTCAGCCGAAGATGCTGTTTCCCGTTGAGTCAACGACGCACACATACGAGCACGAGACTGCAGCCAATTGTCCATCACGTCTTCGTCTCGAGTGCGAAAAACAGCGCCTTTGTTGGTCCTACCCTAAACCATAAACCCCAAACCCTAAACCCTAAACCCCAAACCCCAAACCCTAACATTGCCCGTGGTGTTGGCTTCGGAAGAGGATGCCCTCGCTGCATCCTCTGAGGGTGACACAATCCAGTACAAAGCTTAAGTTTCAGGGGATAAAAAGCAAGCTGCAAACTTCTCGCCCGAAACATGGCAACTGGAGAAGGTTTTGGTGTTCTTGGTCTCAGCAATTTTTCGGGCAGCATCTACCGTTCTTGGGGCTTGGACGCCTTAGTTTTCAGGTTTTGAGAGTGCTCACAAGCTTCTGCCCCGAGCCTGCTTTCCCGCTGCATCAACAAGCCAACAAACTTCTGAGCTTAAGACCTCAGCCGAGGAAGTGGACGTGACGTCTCGACTTCCTCAAAACGAGATACCGCCTTGGCAGCCTGTCCGAGCTGGGTCTTCGGGGGGTAGAAGGTTCAGCGAGCAGGTTCTGACAGTTCTGATCGGTTCGGCGTCGGCGCACAAAGAACGCAGCTCAAGGGCCATGAGCTGGCCATGTGCCAGGCTCGACCCAGCCTACGTACCTCATCCGTTCTCATACTACTTCTAGAGTCTCTCAGCCCCTGTTTGTACGCATCGCTGGGCGGCTCTGGCCCCCCGGCGTGCGTGCGCAAATATGCGCAGGGAGGACTGGTCACAAACGCTGGTGAAGTGTTTGCACAGGCAGACGTCAGAAGACCTTGTAAGCCAGATTGAGGGCCGAGGACTCTGGTCACTAGAGCCTAGAGACTGTGGCGGCCGATGCGTCATCTTGAGATATTCAGGTCTTTTGAGTATTGGTCTGCATCTTAACACACCCAAACTGCAAACCTGAGGACTTCATAGCTGCCCTCCTGAAGGTTTAGGGGACATTCGTTTCGCCTTTCAGATTCAGTTCATGGTGCACTTGAGGATGTTCTGCTTATGGCTAAGTCATTCTCAGGTCTTGGGGAACTCCTAGTAGTGCTGAGCATCTTACAGGTCACCGGGGACCTCAGTGTGCATGGCTTACATGAGGGCATGCGCGATTTCTGCGCTTGTCTGGAAACCGTAGCATCTTAGTGAAGTCCATCAGGCCACTATGGCAAATCTTGAAGCAAAACCAAGCAATACTTTACATTCCAGCAGTCCAAGCAAGTTTACAAACTAAGTTAGATGCGTGCTGCATCTGGCTTAGCTGCAAGTGCTTGTATGCCCAAAACCCCAGCCCCATGATAAAGCCTCTTTTGGGGCTGGAGCAGACCGAGACCCGAGATTGTAAGCGTATTCGGTTTAGGGGGCGACATGACGTCCCTGAGTCTTCCTACCTCGCGTCGCACTTGAGGTTCGTGCTGGCAAACGCAGCCGTAGCCACTGGGACTGAATCTGTCTGTGGCCTGATCGAGCCTTATGGATCCTAATCCCTTCGCGGGTTCAAGCTTGACCCTGACTGGGTAGTGCTTTGGGGTAAAACAAAAACTCCCTTGTTTCCCTTTCAAGGAACCTAAGCAAAAATAGTTTTCAGAGGGCTTTAAAGCACCACCCAGCTGAGGTCCTGATCTTCGTTTCCGAGCTTACAACCCTCTTCCTGGCCAGCGGCTGCAAGAATTTCTTCTGCGGTCCAGATCGGTCCTGGAACATCTTTGCCACTGGGATCTATCCGCTGGGCATCCGAAAACCTGAGCTGAGGTTGATAGCTTTGACAGTTCAGGGCCTAATTTAATATAGGGGCTGAATTCTTAGAATAGGGTTTTGGGGGTTATTAGAGTATAGTTCTATCGGGACCAGAGGGGAATACTTGAATACTACTAGCAGTTCTTCCGACCCCTATATGAGCACACGCTCAACCTAAACTCCCCAACAGGAAATCCCCGGATGCGCCGCAGCCGCTATGACTTGTGCAGAGATCTGTAGGGTTAAAAATTGGCGTGCTTTTTAAGGCTTCAAGGGCATTTGGGGCATTTGGGGCTCCAAGGGGCATTTGGGGCATTTGGGGCTCCAAGGGGTTGAGGGTCAAGGCGTGGAGCTTCTTGTGCGTGAGCTTAGGACTTCTCCATCATCAGCTGGTCTGTCTTGGAGACCTGCATTGAGCTCTGGACGACGATCGTCGCAACTCCCGAGGCTCAGGCAGGGCAGCTTGCAAAAAGAGGGGACATGGAGCCAAGCATACAGGGCTTAGAGTTCAGGGTCAGCAGCTGACCTTTGTTCGGATGGGGCTGAAAGAACTATAGACCAGCGTTCCTTCCTCCTGCCCCCAAAAGGAGACCGTCAACACAACCAAATTCGCATAACCCTCCACTGCGAGTCCCCTGCAAACCATCCGCTTCAAAGATCTCCGTCAGGTGAGCGCCAGCCATCTTCGCTTCGCCCGCACGATGCGCCTGGTGCGCGCCCTAAGCCGGTGCACTCTGCAGCGAAACCCTAAACCCTAGAAGCCGGTTTGGGCTTAGGGATGGTAGGGTTGATGAATAGTTTGTTTTTTTCCAGCAGCCTTCCCAGCTAGACTGCCCATGGCCTTATGACCCTAAAACATTCCCCACACATGCGCACGCAAACGCAAACACGCACACCCGCACACTCGCACACCCGCACGCATGCACGCATGCACCCATACACGCACACGCGCACGCACGCACGCACGCACGCACGCACGCACGCACGCACGCACGCACGCACGCACGCACGCACGCACGCACGCACGCACGCACGCACGCACGCACGCACGCACGCACGCACGCACGCACGCACGCACGCACGCACGCACGCACGCACGCACGCACGCACGCACGCACGCACGCACGCACGCACGCACGCACGCACGCACGCACGCACGCACGCACGCACGCACGCACGCACGCACGCACGCACGCACGCACGCACGCACGCACGCACGCACGCACGCACGCACGCACGCACGCACGCACGCACGCACGCACGCACGCACGCACGCACGCACGCACGCACGCACGCACGCACGCACGCACGCACGCACGCACGCACGCACGCACGCACGCACGCACGCACGCAGCACGCACGCACGCACGCACGCACGCACGCACGCACGCACGCACGCACGCACGCACGCACGCACGCACGCACGCACGCACGCACGCACGCACGCACGCACGCACGCACGCACGCACGCACGCACGCACGCACGCACGCCCGCACGCACGCACGCACGCACGCACGCACGCACGCACGCACGCACGCACGCACGCACGCACGCACGCACGCACGCACGCACGCACGCACGCACGCACGCACGCACGCACGCACGCACGCACGCACGCAGAGACAACACCGCTCCCCTGTCACCGAAGCCGCCACCCACCGAGGAAACAAGGCACAGCTGCATTGTCCTACTGTACTTGCACTACGTACGTCGCAAGCACATCAAGCATGCTGCTTTTGTCTGCATGCCTCCTGAGAGGGGCAGAACGATTGCCTTCTGCTTTTTCGCTTACACTGAGTCCTGTACCGAGAGAGCCCATGCAGCAAGGAGACGCATCTTGCGCTCCGCTTACTTTGCATTAACTGTTAACTACTATCGGCCTTGAAGGAAGCTGGTTTAGTTGAGCCACCGCATTGGGGTTCGCGCTTTGGCGAGGGGAAAGAGCTGACAAACACCTTCTGGACTCCCAACCGAAGTACTGCGACGCCATTGAAAGTACTGAGCCTTAAGCGTTACACCTCGAGCCCTATAGAGTCGACAAATATGCTCCTGAAACGGCTCTGCAGCGGAAACCTCCTCTGTGACAGCAGCAAGACTTCAAAGCAAAGGCGGGATGAGGCCTCTGTGCCCTCTTGAAACCGGGGCTTTAGGGCTGAGAACATCTTCCATGACCCTTTCTTCACGCGAAATATAATCCCAAGGACCTCTCCATTCTCACACCCATGGGCATGTGCAGGTTCGAGCCTTCCGAGGAGTTCGAGTGGTGCGCTTGCTGAGGTGCGCTCACTCAAGCTTAACTTGGGAGTGTGTTGGCATGTTCGGCCTTCAGGCTTCGTGTTTGGGGAGATGCAAAAAAACTTGGTCGTTTAGGATTTTCTGGGCTGACGGCAGGAGGGGACTTACTGTTGTGCTTGGTATCTCGGGGGTCCTTCCCCACTCCCTCCCACCACAAGGCATATTCATCCGCAAAACGAAAGCTGAGAAGTCAGATTTTGTGTCCCCGGCTTGGGGCCTTGGGCTCTGAGGGCTGAGGGGCCCGAGAGGCCCTCTGAGGCTGCAGGCCTGAAACCTCAAGGGCGCCCGGCCTCCTAGGCGTTTCCTTCTGGGAGGGAACGTCTTCCGACCCTAAACCCTAAACCCTAAACCCTAAACCCTAAACCCTAAACCCTAAACCCTAAACCCTAAACCCTAAACCCTAAACCCTAAACCCTAAACCCTAAACCCTAAACCCTAAACCCTAAACCCTAAACCCTAAACCCTAACACCTAAACCCTAAACCCTAACCCCTAAACCCTAAACCCTAAACCCTAAACCCTAAACCCTAAACCCTAAACCCTAAACCCTAAACCCTAAACCCTAAACCCTAAACCCTAAACCCTAAACCCTAAACCCTAAACCCTAAACCCTAAACCCTAAACCCTAAACCCTAGGCTGGCCCGTAGAAGTATCCCAAAGCGCACGAGGGCAGCTCGTGGCCTACTCTTGCTTGGGGCCTGGTTTCATAGCCAGGTTTGAAACGGATAACAAAGAATATACGTGTATATGTATATATACATATGTAGAAATATATATATATATACATACATATATATATATGTATAAGCTATATGACAAAGAATAAGTATGTAGGATGTAGATATGAAGCCCGATTACAGAGATTTTGGGAATCTGAAGGTGGGTGTTTGAGGCCTGAAGCTCCAGGTCATAGGCTTCAAGGACCCCAGCCTCTCAACAGGGGGGTCGCCGGTGATTTTCAGACTTCGCAGGATCATGGGTAGCGAAGATGAACCTGAGCATAACATGAGGGTCCTTGGTGGGCCTTGGTGACAGCCGAAGTAGCAAGGTAGCAAAGGTAGTTCTTCTCCCTGAAGCCAATCTGTAGAATACGCTTTTTTGGAACCTGCTCGCGGCCGTAAACTCCCAGTGAACCCCAAGGACGAGGTGACAGATGCCCAAGCCCAGTAAAGGGAGGTGAGCCAACTTGCCAGCACGTGTTACGATGTCGTGGTGTGTGGTGTTGGTTTAGGCCCTGCCGGTACCCCAAGCCCAAAAACCCTAAACTCCATTGATAGCAGGCGCAAATAGACGCCAAGCCGTAGTTGCACTGTGGTTTGGAGGATCTTCTCCTAGTCTAGCTCCCCGATCGAAGTTACAGGTGTTCGTGAAGATGCTTTCTCCAGCCCTGAACACGAAACCTAAACGCATAGACGCAAAACATGTCCAAGACATCTTAACGCCCCTATACCCATCGACACCCCGAACCTTGAGATACATCAGCGCCTTGCGCACCCTCGTGCTGTCCATCATCTCGAGCATGGCCTCGCTTTGCTGGACGCCACACGAAACTGTTAGGGTTTAGGGTTTAGGGTTCAGGGTTCAGGGTTTAGGGTTTAGGGTTGAGTCTTTCAGGTTGAGGGTTCTTGAGGTGACGATGTTTCTAGGGGTTTGGGGCTTAGGGTTTAGGGTTTAGTTGAAGGTGCCTGATAGCTTAGCTTCTTAAACATTCAAACCCACATGCGAAGCGTACGGGATCCAGAACTGCAAGCCCATGGTCACTCGTTGTTGCCCTGAATCTCAAGGCCTAAACCCTCGACACATCAGCTGTGGGTTCTTTCTCAACCATATTGGGTAGTTCCCGAAAAATAGGGTCCCCTTTTTGGGTCCTATATATAGTACGGCACCCTATGAAAAGGACCCCTAGACCGGACCCTGATTTAGAAAACTACTCTTTTGAAGGCCCCAACCGAAAGAAGCCTGAAGTGAAAGAACGCGGTGTCAGGTTGGCAGGCTTCGGAGCTCGATGGCCCAGCCCTGGTAAGCTTCAAAGGGGTTTAGGGTTTAGGGCTTAGGGTTTAGGGGTTGAGGGTTTAGGGTTTTAGAGTTTAGGGTTCACCGTCTGCGGGGTTGACAAGGGCCAAGGCGTAAAAAGGCTGAAGGAGTTGTGGGGTTTGGGGGCTTTTGTTGTTTCTAGGGCTCAGGCCTCAATTCCGTCGATCCCCAACGAGTTCTGGGATTAGGAGTCTCGAGTTCAGGACGCTGGCATTGCTCGTGCTGCTCTTCTATTGCTTCGGGATTGTGCCTGAGCTTGTTTAGATATGGGGAGCCTCGACATACCACCTGAATCCTAAACAGTTAATTTGCACTTGCCCCACCACCTGTTTCTATCTCCGAAAAAGCGACGTGGAAAGACAAACCGCTTACAATAAACAAATGCCAATAAAGGGTTGGAATGTGCTGAGAGTCTTATGCTTGCCGTGTCGTAAAATAACAGGTTTTGGAGTCTTAATCAACTTGGTGCTCCACCCCGGGAACATCCGGGCCCGATGCAACCATTCAGGTTTTTTTTGCGAAGGTTTTCTTGGGACTTTTTTTACCGCTCGCATCTTTTCTATCAGCCTGGCAACCCTCAGAGCTTGCCGCTCTCAAACGGGGGGCGCGAGGGGCGGGTCGGCGTCTCGTTTGCGAAGTTATGGACCTTTCGGGAGGGCCTGCTGCTAAATGTCTTGGGCATGAAGCCCTAAACCTTAAACCCTAAACCGTAAACCCTAAACAACCCTAAACCCTAAACCCTAAACCCTCTACACCCTAGAACCTTCACCCCGAACCCTCTCTGCATCCCTACAAAAGCCCCAAGTCAATTCAGAGGGTCGGGCTTCCTCGCGTTGGGCCTGAGCAGGTGTTCACGCAACTGGTGTGGGATTACTGCCGCGATGAGGCGGGCGCATGGGGATGAGAGGATCCAGATCCCGGGGCTTGGAGTTTCGCAGGACTCTGAGTTCTACTTATTGGGTTGAAGAGGATCATATCTAGGAATATTTTCCAGAGGGTGTTAAGGGCCATCCTAGTGTATACTTCAAGGGTTCTTTGGAGTTCTTGGGCTCTTCCCTAAACCCTAAACCCTAAACCCTAAACCCTAAACCCTAAACCCTAAACCCTAAACCCTAAACCCTAAACCCTAAACCCTAAACCCTAAACCCTCAACCCTTGAACCTGCAGCACAAGGGCTTTGGGGGATCTGGAGGGTCTCTGAGGCCATTTCCTCGAAGCCGGGAGCCTGAAAATGAACCTTTTGGGAGTTGCGGTTTATGTAGGGTTTAGGGTTTAGGGCTTAGGGTTTAGGGTTGAGGGTTGAGGGTTGAGGGCTTAGGGACCTCGAGCTCAAGGACAAAGATGCATGTACCAAAGCCTCTGTCCCTAGACTCCCGCGACAGGTCTTCGAGGTAGGGTTGAGGGCTTGTGGAAGTTTGGGGTTTAAGCCCCCCCCCCCCCCCCCCCTGGAGACTTAGTAAGCACGGAAGGTTGTTGGTAAGTTGTTCGCTGCTGTGTACAGTGGCTGTTGACTGAAGAATCGCTGCTGACTGTGGGGTGGTTCGAACGCTTTTTCAGAGCTTCATTGCAAGGGCACCTAGATCTAGACTTCCAGGTCCTACATGTCCGCACGAAAACTTGCAGAACCAACATAATGCCAACATATGAACCAGCGAGGCTGTGAGGACCTCTGGCGACGTGAATGTGACACCGCTCTGCCCCAACAATGTCGACCACTATTGGGCAACAGTGCCCGACTCTTGATCACGTTGAGTTAGAGCTAGATGTAGAATGCGTGGCATGAGCCACGTGGCGGTTGCCTACGCAGGCAACGATGCGTTCTGGAATTTTCAGCGTGGTTTGTCAGGAGATGTTCGGTTTCACACTTAGTGGGTGCGGTTGGCTACACGCAGCTGAGCTGCGGGTAGCTCCTGACGTAGAATTTGAAGGGATCCCCTACGCCCTAAACCCTAAACCCTAAACCCTAAACCCTAAACTCTAAACCCTGAACCCTGAACCCTAAACCCTAAACCCTAAACCCTAAACCCTCAATGAAGTTGGAGGGATCCAGGGCCATCTTTCCCAGTCCCTCTAGGGTCATCCGCCCTTAAGGAAAGCATGCTGACGCTGTTTACCGCCATCACGGGTGGTATGAATTGGGAGGAAGCCATGGTGTCGCTGAGAGACGCCCGGCTTGGCCTTCGGCCTTTGGATTTTGGAACAGGTCAGGGATTTCGAGGCCCTAAACCCTAAACCCTCTAAAACCTCTAAACCCTGCACCCTAAGCACCAGGGCTTGGGGAACGGTTCATGCAGGGCTTAGGGATTTCTAGGTGTTTCTTTCGGGGTATTTGGGAGCTGTTGGGCGGGTATACAGAAGGCTAGGGAACCCTACTTCCGGTGTTCAGTCTGCGCAGTTGCCCTTCTCATGTCCTCCCATGACTTAACCTGAAGTGCCCCTCGCAATCCCAAAGGGTGCGACTGGGGAGTTCTCCGAGATTAGTTTCGCGACGATTTCGGCTACCTTGGTTGGGGTGTTTGGGTTCTTAACGACAAGCTCAACGCCTCAAAGCTGAAATCGGAAGCCGCACATGCACAAAGGCCTCCACTCGGGACATAAACAAACACCAGCATCCAAATCTTCGAAACGTCAAGCTCAAACCCTGAACCCCACACACCCCACACTCACGATGAGCGCTGGAGCCTAGTCCAAAGCCCAGCACTTGTACCGTGCTTAAGAACTAAGGGCTCGAAACTTGAAGGGCAACCTGAATCCCAGACACAAAAGCCGCAATCGTAAATCCCAAATCCTAAGCTGTCGTGCCAACCCCTGGGTGACGTTACCGCTTAAAGGTGCTCTGTGCTCGAGATTGTTTTGTAGGGGCTTGCACGAGGAGTTTAGCCCTCACGCCTTATACCGGAGCCCTTCACCCGAAGCAACCTCGCCCAGTTGATTTCTCCGCTGGCTGCATCCTGCTGCTGGGCTGAATCAGCCCAGCACTCGCCCTAAACCCTAAACTCCACCCTCAACCCTAGGGCCGATCCAAAGCCAAGATGCTTCATCGGGGGGGGGGAGGGGGGGGGGGGGGCGGTTGCGTAGTTTTGACTTAGCGACGCCATCAGCATATCAATACCGGAGCTTCGCGAGCTCCTGCCCCAGATCCTACCCAGTACGCACCTGAATCCTACACAAGCCAGGGATGGCCTTGCCTATCGCGAGATTTCTTTTGATTTGGCTGTGGTGTGATGCCCCCTAAGCCCCAAGTGCATCCACACTCGAACCGTAACTCGCCCTTTGCAAAACACGAACCTCATCTCCAGACCCGCAGCTTTGATCCCACCTCCTACTCTTCCTGCGCCTGCTCCAGCTCCTTCTCCTCCACCGCCTTCTCCCGTGTACAAGCCTGTTGCCGCCTGTGTGATTTTTTTGAAGCCAGCAGCAGGTGTTGTGTTTCTTCTCTGATTCAATGGGGGCTTGGTACTGCGTCGTAATAAAGATAAGTAATTGCAGAACTGTGACATCTACTTTTTGCACTCCGAACCCTAAACCGCAAACCCGAAAACACTACATTACGCAAGCGCCCTCTCTGAAAAGCTAAGTAACGTGGTGCTGTTTGAGGCTTGGGGTCAAAGGTTTGGCTTTTGATGTTGCAATCTTCTATTCCACACGCGAGGGCGCATACATCACTGCGTAGGACAATCTGTCTAACCGAATAGACCTTCCCTTAAACCTTCAAATCAGTTAGTACAACCCCAACCCAAGCCTTAAAGCTCTGAAACTAAAGCCTATACGCCTTCAAAGCCTCACGGCCTTTGCAGTGCAAGGTTTCATTTTTTACATCGCCATCGCGGTGCTGGCCGTCGTAAACGTGGCAGCGGCCCTGGTTTGAGAGCAGGCCCAGTGTAGGGTTCAGGGTTTATAAGGGGTCAGGGTTTAGGTTGGTTAGGCATCTTCCCTTGACGCATCTATGTATGGAGAAGAGGGGTTTCTTTGTAGCGGGGCCGGCATTCTCTGTGTGTGTGTGTGTGTGTGTGTGTGTGTGGTTGGGGGTAGGTGCCCTCGTCCATTTCCTGGCAATCCTAGGTTTCATGTTCTTTCTTCCTACTTTCTGGTTTTTTGTTCCCTTGCTATGAATGCTAGATATTCGTTATTTCTTTCAACAAGGGTTGGTGGGTTTCTCTTACAGTGCCTGTTTCGCCATGCAGTTCAACCCAAGGTCTGATCCATATTCAGGTTGCTGCACATTACACACATCTTCTTTTAAATGGCCACTTACGAATGACGAATTTCTAGTTGCCAATTACTGGGTAGGTAGGTAGGTAGGTAGGTAGGTACGTAGGGTCGACCTGCGACAAAGCCGCGTCCACCGCCGCTCAGCGTCTCAAGGAAGGGGCCTCCGATGAAAGTTGCCTCCAACACATTTGTAACTGTGAGGGGGCTGCGGGGCACCATGTACACCCTGGGTCAGAAACTAGAATTTGCAGCATCTGCCGCCGGTGAGGCGTCAGAACGACTGTAATTTGAAGCTGTCCAACACCTGGACATTCTAAACTGTGGGGCATGGTGCCTATGCACAGCCAGCAACGCTGCAATGGGAGCTTGCTGGTGTGAGGCACAAGCACTACAGCATGTGGGGCCTTTGATCGGGCACAAATGCTGGAATTTGCGATGTTTGCAGCCTGTCAACAGCGGGAAATGTAAGTGGCCACATTCGGAACCTGCCAGAAATGCCGCATTTGCAGCATTTCGCACGTGTGAAAAAGTCAGAAACGCTTGAATTTGCAGTGAGCCAGAAAATTTCTGACAGCACTTGCACTTAAAACTAGTTGAGAAGCACCTCCTCCCATAAAACTGCAGATAAAACCGGGTGACTTGGAAAAGAATACGCCCGGACAATTTGATATTAGAGCGGGTAGATGAATTGAACCGGGTGGACACGACATGCTATTCGTTTATCATGTATACGTATATATATATATACATACCCTTAGTCCGCTGCTTCAAGTTGCTCTATCGACAGGAATGGATGGATGTGACGTCAGGGCATGGGAAATCTTTGGTCGGCTGGCAGCAGGACGACGCTACGTGTGCTGCGGCAGGTAGCCCGCTGCGTCTGTGCCCTTTGGTGTCATTCGCCTGACGTGGTCCCTTCTTGGGACCACGTTTGCTGGACATGTGCCAAGGCCTCAAGAAGGCCTCTCAAGACCTTTGCCGCCCCATTGCTGCGCTGCAGGCTCGCCTGGCGTGACCCACATGGGAAGTTGTCATAAGAAGGAACGCGATGCGAGGATTGTTGCTTGGATGGTCCAGTGAAACAGTCCTCTCCCAAAGGTACGATAGACCGCCCGAAGGTCAACTCGTCGGATGCGATTTCTCTGAGGTTGTTGATGATACTATTTGGCGATGGCAGATAACGTGTCTCAAGAGACGGTGACAAAGTGCCGCCTTGTGTCGCTTGCCTCATTGCCAGTATGAGGTTGTTGCCTGCATGTTTCACCTTGCAAAATGGCATCTTGCCAGGGTTGAGGCGCTCCCCGGGAGGCAATTGTCATAGTCTAGCGTTCTTCGTGTGTTGAGGTCAGCAAGTGCCTGAACATCTTGCTGCGACGCCGCTGGAAGTTGCTGCCCTTTGTAAAGGGCATCGGTTGATGTTGCCTCGCGTTGGTTTTCCTGCCCCTTGTCTCTTTACACGCTTCTTGGTTTTTGCCTTTCTTTACCTCTGGACGTTTGATGCGCCCCGCTTCTGTGATCCCTGAGGTGTGCTCTTTCCCAGCTTTGACTGTGTAGGGCTTCGAACGCATGTTCCTCTTTGTGTCTGCCCAAGCTTAAGCTCGCTTCGTTTGTTGTCGGTTCCTGCCGATCCTTGCCATGTCGATAGCAGTCTTCCTCAAGGCGATGGCTGGTCCATGTTGGCTATGGCCGTTGTCCTCTTGCCAGCTTGCGAAGCCATCAGGAAGTCCCATCCTGATGCCTCCCTTGTGCTTTTTGCGGACGACAGGACGTTTGCCACGACTGCCGCAGCTGCTTTCAGCATTTGGGAAATGTGGCAGCAGTGGTCTCAGCAGTTGGGTCTTAAGGAAAATTTGGATAAGGCTTGGTTCTTCAGTAGGTCCAAAAAGGTCGCTGCCGACTTGTTGCCTCCGGCTTGAATGCTGACTCAGTCACGGATAAATTGTGCAACGATGGATTTCGTCCAGCAGAGTGGATGCTACTGAGTGTGCAGGTGCCGTGTGTGATGAATGTAGGATGAAAGCTGTCCGTTCTTTTCCTGATCTTGGCAAAGCACATGTAAGGGCAATCTTTGCCGGGGCTGCCGCCAGCCGATGCGCTATCTCGTTATGACTGGCACTGAGCACTTGCGCCCTTGGTGTCGTTCACCTGACGAGGTCCCTTCTTGGGACCATGTCTGCCGGACATGTGCTATGGCTCCTAAGCCTCAAGATCTTTGCCGCCCAAGCGATGCACTTCAGGCACGCTTGGCGTGGCCCACAGGAAATCCTCGAAGGAAGGATCGCGATGCGAGGATTGTTGCTTGGATGTCTCTGGTCCGTGAAGCTATCCTCAGCCAGAGATATGATCGGCCGCCTGAAGGTCAACCGCAGGGGTGAAACTGCTAGGGGTTATAGGAAATTTTTAGTTGGTTGAAAATTTTGAAGGGTGTTTTGACGTCGTCTGCCGACGTGTCATACGATGGATATTTTTCTTACAGGATTTTTTGGCAGTTTCAGCCGACACATCTCAAGTGACAGTGACAAAATGCCTGCCCGGTGTCGCTGCCTCAAGCTGGCGTGTTGCCCGGGGGGGCCTCCCTGAGAGGCATTCGTCATAGTCTAGCATTCTCTTCGTGTGCTGAGGTCACGGGGGTGTTCTGCTCGACAGCCATGGAGTCAGCATCCGCAGACAAGGAGAGCTTGCCCACTGTGACCGGGCCTAAACCCTAAACCCTGAATCAACACATTGGTAAAACCTTAAGAGCCTTAATCGCCTAAATTCACCTAGCCCATGTTCCCCAAACCCGTGGGCCCAACAGCCAAGTGTTTCGTCCTGACCAGACTTGTTAGACTTGTGATGGTGTGATGGGTTGTGATGGTTGCAGCTGTCTAGGGTGCACAGTTCAGAGCAACTAATTATTTTCGTGGTCCGGGGGTGAGAAACACACGTTTGTGCAGGAAATCGCGACGATGAAGCAGCTTCAAAAGAAGAATGCGCAGGCGCCTCTCTATAATCGCAGGTGCCATCTTCAGGGACAGTCAAATACGAACATTAACCGACCAAATCCGATCCCTAAAACTGCAGTTCGTCCCAAAAACATCCGCAGGCTTCCCGCAAGGGCTTCAAGGGGCTACAACAATCATTCACAAATAGTTGTTGCACCCCCTTTTGCCGTGACATGGGCAGCACACTCCGAAGATGCGGTGCGAGCACTTCGCTGCGAGAATGGGGTGTGGTCCGGTTTGTCCTGGCCCGGCAAGTGGCCAATAGCTCAATGGCGGTGCTGCAGACAAGCTGCTGCTGCTGCTGCTGCTGCTGCTGCTGCTGCTGCTGCTGCTGCTGCTGCTGCTGCTGCTGCTGCCGCTGCTGCTCAGACGCGGTGCTACATGGTGCTCATGTCGAAAGTGCCTGGCTTGAGAAACTCAGGGCTCTACCGCACTTGCTCATCACACTGGTCTGAAATATCTGAGACAAGGAAGATGCAGTTGTGAAAGCCAAGACGAATCCGAATCTTGAGAATGCGTGGAAGTATGCCGCATGCCCTATTCGCCGTGCGCCCTTGCTCCGCGATCAGCCCTGGACCTCTGAAATCTCGTTTTTCCGGTCAAGGAACAATCGCTGCCTCGTTGGGGCTGTCGGACTTGCGACCCAGGAAAGGTAGCTACTGAAGCATCATGCCCCAGCCTCGTGGCCAGCCTGCTCGGAGATGCAAAGAATGCTTTTCAAAGGTTTAGAAGGGCTCCGTGAGGTTTTTGACCATGAGCAACTAAGCCAACCAAGCCTTATAAGCCACCCTAAAGTACAGACCAGTTTTGTCTCGGAGGTCGCAGACCTCCGTCGCGTGTTCGAAGAAATCGTTGACGTTGAGTCCAACCTGGCAGCAACCTCAGTTGATGTGAGCACAGAGTTACCTCTCCGGCCGAAAAGTGGGGCTTCCGTGGAATTTTCCAGTGTAGGGTCCAGGGCTCAGGTTCTGATCCCCAAGATGGCACCGCAGTGCGGGCCCCTTTTGACCCCAATCCAGAGTGGACGGACCTGCCAAGCGATGTACTGTAGCCCTGCAAGTGCCCTCACATCGAAGAAGAACACGAGCCCTTATCCTTACATCACTCCAAGCCGCCGAACCTAGCAGGGAATGCCAAAGCCTTACAGCCTCAGCCTGCAACCAAAAAACCTATCAAAACCGAACTCCCACAACCCCCAAGTCGCGCCCGGCCCTCGTAGAGCCTCGAAGCCGAACCTTCAACCCGAGCCCAACATGGGAGTTTACGATACTATGGGGGTACCTTGTTGGCGTCCTAATTTTAAGGGGACCCTGCTATTTGGGGGTCGATATAAGGGGTCCTCCCACCGGCCCCGATGCCCAGAGAGCTCGGGTTTGCAAGCATGTTAAGGTTGTCTCGCGGCGGTTTTAGGGCTTGGTTTATGAACCCACAGTACGCCCACATTCACGACCCCAAGAGCCCTACATGCCTGCATGCTGGGAAGATGGCAGCTTCTCGGGGCTCACGAGTCAGGGCTCACGAGTCAGGGCTCGAGTCAGGGCCCTAAACCCTAAACCCTAAACCCTAAACCCTAAACCCTAAACCCTAAACCCTAAACCCTAAACTCGTAAACTCCACAGGTCAACCTCCAGGAGTTCCAGAACGCGATGCTTCTGCCGCGCTTCGCGAACTTCCTGGTCCCGCTTAAAGGGTAGAGTTCAGGGTTTCGAGATGTTTAGAGGGCAGTTTAGGGCTTAGGGTTAGGGTTTAGGGTTTAGGGGTTAGGGTTTAGGGTTTAGGGTTTCGGGTTTCGGGTTTGCGGTTTAGGGTTTAGGGTTTTGGGGCTCTGAGTACCAAACTCCAAAGCCCGTGAATCCTAAATAGCAGAAGATTTGGTTTAAGAGAGAGATGGAGGGGTTCTTCGGATTGGATGTCGTGCTTATAGGACCTATAGGAAACCTTCTGATCCGTTCTTGATTCTTGATCAGGGTTTATTAACAAAGCAGTGGCTTTACACCTGAGTTCACGGCTTGATATAACTTGCACCGCCCTGACTGGTTCGACTCAACGACATGAATGCTTGGCTCGTATGCCTTACGCATGCGCGTGTCCGCCCGCGTGTGCGCAGATGTAGAGGAGCCAATGGTGGTAGGAATGGCGCCTGCGCCTTCCGAGCTGTATGAAGACCATGCTGACCCTCATGAGAGACAAATCCGCTAAGCCTTATAAGTCCTAGGCTTAAACGACATACCTTGGGACTAACAGCCCTTCATCGGGATTCTAGTACCCCCCACTATAATCCCTACGAAAAAGGGTGAACATCCCAATACATACCCTGTGCATTCAAGGGTTTGTTTGTTCTACTTGAAGGGGCCAGCTGCCTCTTCAGCGGCTTGCAAAGCATTCCTCGGCAAATCTTCAGCTGCAGGAGAGCCATCGGGCACAACCAACTAAGTTATGGCACTCCAAAGCCTGGACCATGTCCGAGGCAACTAAACAGCACTTCAATTTAGCAAAATTTACGACCCCACGGGGCCTCGCATCCATTGCGCGGCGAGCCCTGGCAGGAATCGATGGGAATCTCCACGGAAGACATTGGCATCTTATTCACGGTGATGGACTCCGACAGGAGCCTCTGCCTTCCTTGCCACGCCTTTCGAGCCGGGTTCTGCACCATAAAATCCAGCAAACAACGCCACAATCCTCTGCACAGATAGTTCCCGTTCTCTTGCGCCTTGAATTGCGGCATCAGTGCTTAACGCAGTGTGGGGTGCGGAGTCAGGTTGCTTACCACCATCTCTCGCAGCATTCTCAATGCTAGATATTTCTTGGGGTGTTCCGGGCCATCTTCAGCTGATATTGGTCGACTACAGGGGTTTGTCTCTCCTTACCAGCCATCGATCAGTCGTCATACCACGTCAGAGCCCTAAACCCCAGGAGCGGCCTCATCGATTTGGATGAGTTTGTCCAGGTCTCGCTGTGAGCTTTTGGCTGTTCGGGTCATGGGGAGGACCGAGGACGTCTTTAGAAGGTTCAGGCGAATGGTTTGGGGGGCTTCGTGCCCGGTCGGAACTTCACCGTGAAGAGGTGAACTTGAGTCTTGGGATTTTGTGCTTGGGCTTATGGTTCTGAAAGGGTTGCTGGTTTTGGAGGTTTGCTTAGGGCATCTTAGGGGTCTCAGGCTGCATTGCAGAGTTTGCGCTTCTGATTCTCCCTCTGTGCCAATACCCACTCTTGGAGATCACGTCGCGCCTGTGTTCCAGATCCTTCTTGTTACGGGGCTTGTGCTGGCAGCGGCGTTGAACTGACGAATTAGCCGCATGAGTGGTCCACCTTCCCACTTCCTTTCAACTTCCGCCACATCATGACCTTGGATGCTAGCTGGGCATTGCGGCAACCACTACTCCAGCTCTTCCGACACTAACCCGTGCACCCTGAACCCCTTCATCTGCTCTGAACCGTAAACTCATAGACCTTGTCTTCCTCGATTCGACATTCGATATCCATGTTTTGACAGCAGTCACCTACGAATCTACTTGGAGGCTCAGACCCACTAGGTGTAAGAAAGTAAGGTTTACAAGACTCTAATACTTGCGGTTGAGTTTTGGAGGTAAGGGTGTAGGACTCATGTAGGGTTGTGGGTTCAGGCTCAGCTGACAGTGCCATACTCAAACGACAGGGCTGCCTACAGCTTCACGGGCCCGCGAAGAGTGCCCTGGCTTTGGGCTTGTGGTTAGAGTTGAGGGTTTAGGGTTTAGGGGTAGGGTTTAGGGTTTAGGGCTTAGGGTTTAGGGTTTAGGGTTTGCAATAATTAGGAGTCTGCAGCAGAGCGGGATTGCTGCGGGGAACCGGGGATTTGAGGCGGCTACGAGATGTCGGGCTCTAGATCTTGTCAAGGTTTTTGTGGGGTCTGGGAGTGAGGTTCCTGAGCCTCAAACCTTAGCTTCCCCATAAATGTTGAAGAGAGCATTCGCGGTGCATGGCTTGCATCGCTTTCGCGTGGACGAGGTCTAAATGCCTGAGCGGGAGTGCCCACGCGACCTCATGTGTAGCTGCACATTGCGGGTTTCCGGCCTTAGGGGCTCTTAAGCACCCTTATTTTCTTGCTCGTCCACGCTTAGGCCTCAGGCTTGGGCTGAAGTTGATGGGTTGAGCTCCGGACTTTTGCTCGGCTGCTTGCCAAGTTTTCGGAGGCGGCTTTTAAGCACAATTTTGGTTCATACTGAGACAGTCAGAGTTGAACACGGACTGGAAACATTGAACATCCTTGTAGGTCTGTTTGGAGGCCAACACCGGGCTCACCAAGCCTCGATGTTCAGAAATCGAACCGACTCGAAAGCGGCAAGTAGCTTTGCCTCCGAAGAAATGAAGCGCCCGATAGCAGGCTAGAAACTTTGGGGGAAACTAGCTGACTGTTAGCAACCCAAAGCCCGAAGTGCCTAAGACTTAACCTCCCCCGACCTTGATCCCAAATGCCTCGGAAATCCGACTGGGCTGGAAGCTCTACCCTAAACCCTAAACCCGCCCTAACCCCTACTAACAACTAAGCCCTGAACCATCCCAAATCCTTAACTTGAGGTTTACAAATCGCAAAAATGAGCTTCGAGAACAAAATCACAAGGTGCCAGCAGACCAGGGTCTGGGACCTTTCGGGGTTAGGCTTTGCAGTGTTTGGGGGTTCGGCGTCTAGGACCCATCTTGGTGTTTGGGGTTTTAAGTTCAAGGGTTTGTACAAATGGGCTCAGGCAGTTTGCGGTTTGGGATGTGGGGTTGGTTCTCAGCGTCGTCTCGACTTCGGTGCCACGAGCCACAAGAAGACAACCGCCCTCAAATCTCCTCAAGACCCTGCACTGCTCGAAACCGAAGGATTCTTTACTCGAAGGCGGCGCAGAATTTGGGGGGGGGGGGGGGGGCTAGGGCTTATCAGTTTGAGCACAGCTAACGTTAACCAGGTATCAAGGCATCAGCTCATGGATATTCTGATGATTTATGTATTTCCGTTGTTTGGGCTTGACCATGTAGGGGCAGACCCTACATAGACAAAAGGTAGGGCAGGGACAAGTAGCTTAAGGGCCGGGCAGCATTGACTTAAACTTGCTGCCTGAGAAGGTACTGGAGTCGGATGCTACCTCACTTCACATGTTGTTTTGGCGTGTGATGTTAACGTACAGCAGGGATCAGCTTTAGGCCTGCGGCGGGTGATTGCCTTGGCTAGGAAGAGAAGTTTGGTCTGTACGATGCTAAATGTCTTGTTCGGAGAACTTCCGAGTAAGGTCGTGGCTAAAACTGCCTGCAGCAGGCAAGCGATCAAAGCCATCGGTGCCGCAGTGGTCGAAGTTACGGAAGAGCTGTGCAGCCTGCGTGATAGCATCAACAACTCCGCCACCTTTTCCGCCTGAGCTGAGAATCCTGGGTCCCGCTGTAGTGCTGAAAGCCTCAAGGGCCCAGAACCGAAACCCTACGCCGCCTGCGCCCCAAAGTTTCCCAAGCTCTTCAGAAGAGGGTTTAGGATTCAGGGTTGAGGGTTTAGGAAATCTAGGTCCTCCTCCCCCCCCTCCCACAGAGTGTTGGGGTGTTGGGGATGTCGGGGTTGTGAGCGTGCAGGGATTCTGGTGAGTTGCACGTTTCGAGGGCACGGCATCCTCAGCTCAGCACAAAGTCTTGCAGATCGCGGCGACACTGAACGAAGAATATTCCCTTATGGTCCCTTTATGAATTATACGATAATAACCCCCCCCAACTCCCTATTCTAGCGATTCAACGAAGAATATTCCCTTATGGTCCCTCTATAAATTATACGATAATAACCCCCCCCCAACTCCCTATTCTAGCTATTCAGGCCCTATATATGGTAGTGGTGTTTAGGGGTTTCGAGAGGTGTCAGGAAGTTTGGGGGCCGTGGGTTGTGTTTGTGTTTTGGGCAAGAAACGGGCCAAGCTGCGCACTGGCCGGTTGCTAGGGTTTAGGGTTTAGGGTTTCTGGTTTAGGGTTTAGGGTTTAGGGGTTTAGGGGTTTAGGGCTTCGGGCTTAGGGTTTAGGGTTTAGGGACATGTGGCTTCATAGTGGCCACAGGGCCGCGCCTTGCGGGTGCAGGTTGGCTTGAGAGGGCCATTTGAGGGTCGGTGGTTTATGTTTGCCTTTCCTGTGTTGGGGCGACTGTGGGAAAGGTTACGGCTTTTTCTTTGAAGCTCACTAATTAGGCTTACTTTTCTACGGTCTTTGAGTGTGAGTGCCTTTGGCTTTGCAGTTCAGTCTTTGGGTGCTTTCGCTACACTGCAAGAGGAAAGTAGCTGTCTCGCCATTACGCACGTTCGCCGCGAGCTGTGCACGAAAGGTCGGCTTTTGCAGCAGATCGCCAAATTTCGCAATGAGTTCAACCCCAAGCACTACAAGTACTGCCAACATGGGTCCTATTGGGTTTGGGTATACGGATTTCCTGCAGGTTTTACTTGACCACCTTACAAATACAACTACTTTTGTGTCAACACAGAGGGGCCGCTCTGCCCTGTTTGTCTTGCTGTTTGAGCAAGAGCCCACCCTCCAAGAGCCAATACCAATTGTAGTGTGGTTTCTGCAGCCCCAAGGCACGTAGGACGCGATGTCTCGGGGTTGCGGATGGGGTTGAGGGCTTGGGGGCTACAGAAACTACAAACTACCTGGCAACCTGTGGCAAAGACATCAGGAGTCTTGCAGCGAAGCTGCAGGACACAGCCTCGGCTCGCGGTGCATGGCACCATTCGCAAAAGAGTTCCGTGGACATAGGACATGGGGCGCATCAGCTTGCTTTACGGACTATTTTCCCTGAATTACATTCCCTGGGTTGTGGGCCTGTTAGGACTGCCACAGTAGACTAGACTCGGGGAACGCGCTTGCTGAAGGGTTTCTGGTCACAAGCAGGAAACCACCTAGGATCCTGGAACAGGGTCCTTCCCCTCGCTGAGGGCAGTCTGCGTCCCCCCGAACAGTAGGAGTCTGTTCCTTTCTCCTGAAGCTTTATGTTTGTGACCTCTTCCCCACTCTCCTCTCACCATGCGACGTACCTGTTGTTTGTCTCTACCTTGGCTCTGGCACTGGGTATGAGGGTGCAGTTGGTCCGATCTTGCTTCCTTCCCTTGCACTTGGATCTTTAAGCCATGCTGTCGGCACCCTTTATCATGACTCGGCTACTACCGCAATATCCCACATGTCGCACATGAGCACTACTTCATCGCAGTGCACTTGCTGGCTTGAGGGTGTAAAGTTGCAGGGCCCAGGGTAGGAAGCGTTACAGATAAGTGCATGCTTCAGACAACTCAGCATAGTTTGCGAACCGTCCTGAACGAATCGAGGTCCTTGCCTGCATTTTTGCCACTCGCCCAATCCGGCTGCTGAAGCGTGCTTGCCCTGTCTGCTTGACTTGTCACTTCCGGCTGACGGCTCGAAACGCACCCTAGCTCAAAGCATTGTGTTGCACGTTCTACCTAAGTTGCTGTAGGAGGGGTTGAGCATCTTAATCCTACCGACCTCAGCATAGCTTAAGGCTTGAGGACGTGTGGCTGTAAGCTCGGTTCGCAAGGAAGGGGATATTGAACAAATGGGGAGCTCCCAATAAGACAGAAGCTTCCGGACCCCATGGTCAAGATGTGTTAGCTGTTAGCCAGTCCATTCGTTTCGGGTTTAGGGTTTAGGGTTTAGGGTTTAGGATTTAGCCAGTCATTAGCATTTCATCGCAGCCCTTGGCTGTGCAGGCTGCCGGCAAAATCGCTCACAATCTTGCATGCGACGACCTGACCCAGCTCGCGATGCTTCACTTCCCCCATCCCGCTTCCACTCGCCTGAGACGCTCCAGAATTTTGATTGGAGATCCAACCTTTTTGGGGCAAGTCTAGGGCAAGTTTAGGGTTTTGCTCTGAGAAGTGGAAGTGGTGCGGGGCTCTGACTCGTGACCTACTTCTGGATTCCATACCCTCACAAAGTGTCTAAGGTCAAAGACAGATAAGCTTC